TCTTGGAGAGAGTAGGGATGCAAAGTAAATGCCTAAACATAATAAAGGCAATATAAGCAAGACAACAGCCAACATCATACTAAACCTTGGTGTTACTTCCATTTCTATCCAACAGATGGCAAAAAAAGCTCAAAAAATTGTTTTTCCAACTTTTGACTTAATGCAGACACACAACTCTGCATATTGCAAGTTTACTATTCTACTTCATTGATATGAAATGACATTGCTGGATTTTTTTTTACTGATCTGTGATAAATTAGCAGAAGCCAAAGCATTGAATTCTCACTGATGTGAGCAAAGAACTGACAAAAGCAACTTAATGAAGTAAGAGTTATTTTGTTTATAGTTCAAAGAAATACAGTCATGATGATGAGGAAGCCTTGATGGCAGGTGTGGGAGTCCATTGATCATGTTGAATTTTCATTAGTGAAGCAGAGTGAATGGAAAGTGCAAATCCTTAAGGACTGCTGCAGTTACCTACTTCCTCCTATTATTGACTCTGCCAAGTCTGAAATCCTCTCTTTTTCTTAGTAGCAGTGACAGAATTCCATATAAAACTGGCATCCATTTCTCACTTTGAAAATAATCTATGTGCATCAGTAAATATTGAATAAGCAGACTACTCTTCACAGATTATTGCTCATGATCTCACTAAGATCAAAGTGTGTGTGATCATTCATTTCCAATTTTACAAACACCTAGGCAACACCTGCCTGAGTTAGAGACAGCATAAGATTATGTTTAGGTCAGTTTTCCACAATTGTAGCAAAATACCCAAGCAAAGATAAACATAATGGTATGTCCTGTTGCTTTGGGTCTCTGGTGAGGCAGGACAACACAATAGGAATGTGTCACAGAGGAAAACTGCTCACTATTCATCCAGAAACCACACAAGGTAATGGAAAGGACAAGGAACTACAGGTCTCCTCATGGATACACGACTAATGACCTAATAATTTTCTACTATTCCTCTACTCTTGAGAGTCCCACCACCTCCTCAAAGCCCTATCCAGAAAAGCACATTTCTGTCACATGGGCTTTTAAGTGAAGATTCAAGATGCAAATATTAGCATTCCTTGAAAGAGGAGCACTGAGTTGCACTCAGCCCTTAAAACTGTTACTCTCTGTGGATTCCAAGCACTAAAATCTCTTTTCTAATCAAACAGATGGAAACTGAGACACGTGCCTTAACTTCATCATATGTTATTCTCACCAAATGTCCTCCTGGCAATCCTCCAATGCAGGTGCTGCAGAGATGTGAAATCATTGTTTAAAAAGATACATTAAATAGGGAACTGGAGAGATGACTCAGTGGTTAAGAGCCCTGACTGCTCTTCCAGATGAACCATGTTAAATTTGCAGCACCCACGTGACAGTTCACAACTGTCTGTAACTCAAGCTCCTTGGATCAACACCCTCACACAGAATACATTCAGGTAAAACACCAATGCACATAAAATAAAAATAAATAAACCATTTTTAAATATCCATTATAACATCAAGCAGACAAAGTTGAAACACTTGTGAAATTTTCGGTAACTATAAACAGAGCAACAAACACATCAAAACCATCTCCATGATTCATACTGAGGATGGTATTGGACATGTGACCTTCCAAAAGCCATACTAAGACACCAAAATCAAGATATTGTTTTATGCCAATTCAAGACTCACACCTTGTGTATTGATTCCAGGTGAATAGTCACAAAGCTTTCTCAACCTTGAGCATTATTTTGGCTTCTGATGATGGGAAATCAGGTAAGGTAACTGCTTGCATCTCCTTGAAGATCTTACAGATTATGTCTTCAAAAGTTATCTCTAATATTTTTTAAGCTTTATAATTTTAAAGTATATATATAGTATATATTTATACATATATAATATATATGTATATATATTCATGTATATGCAATATAAGGAGATATACCCACCATTCTATCTCCAACTATCCTATATTGCCCTTAACACATTCCCTGCCAACTTCATTATCTAGACAATCCAGGAAGTCTAGTTAGTGCTGTGTATATGGGAATGAAACAGGGTCCTTAAATGTCCAGCTTCTACGGAATCCCTCTCAGGGTTGAATTAAAGACTCCACAATAAGCAAAGGGAGCAAAAGTCTAAGGGTTAAGAAATCTACTCACAGCAGGATTCAACTATCCAGTTTATCATGAATTTCTACTGCTGTGCATTCATGAGACAGACAGATAAGATACAGAAGATGACATTACACATCCCTCTTCCCATTCTCCAGCTCTTACATTTTCTTTTCTTTTTATCTATTCATTTTTTAATGATTTTTTGTATTCTGGCTGCAGTTTCCTCCCCATTCCCCTAGTATGTCCATCACTATACTCCTCCTCCATTTCTCAGCTGAAAGGGGAGAAAGTGGTTGGCTTCTCATGGATTGCAAGCAAACATGGCATATCAAGTTTCAGAAAGACTAGGCACCTCCTCTCATACCAAGGCTAAGAGGCAAACAGGTACAAGAAACAGGGTCTCAAGAGCAGGCAAAAGAGTAAGAGACAGTACGGGCTCACACTGTTTGGAATGCCATAAGAAGACCAGTCTATACAACTGTAACATCTGTGCAGAGAACCTATAACAGAACTGTGCAGGCTACCTGGTTTTTGATTCAGACTATGTGGGCCCCAATGACCCAAGTTTTTTTTTTCTATAGCTGGATGAAACTTCTCTGATGACGATTGCTACCTCCTCTTCTTAATCTTCCCAGAGGTTTGGTGTAATGAGGTTGATGGGTGTCCCACTAAGACATGAGACCTCAGTTTCTTATTCTCTGCAATTCAACCAGTTATGATTGCTCATTGATGGTCACCCACAGTAAGAGAAGAAAACCCTTCTCAGATGAAGGCTGAATGCAGCCCACAGGCATGGATACAAACAGAAGAAACCTCCTTAAAAATGAAAAATACAATAAATTTAATTTTTAAAATAAAAAAATTAAATTTAAAAATTACACCTTGTATAAACTTAAAACAGAAAGTATGTGTTCTTTTTGGTTGTTTTGTTATATTGACACAACCTAGAGTCACCTAGGAAGATGGATAGTTTTGCTAACCTGGTTGGGGTTCAAGGTCCAGGGATCCTTCTGTCTCTCTACCTTCCAAACTCTATGATTACAAGCTTGAACCACCATAGCGGGAAACATAGGTGGTTGATTGGGACGCGAACTCAGTTTTTCATCCTTCCAAACAACAAACAAGGGCTTTTACCAGTGAGCAATCTCCAACAGACCTCAGTCATACAATTTTTTTTAATCTTAGAATGCATGTTGCATTTGTCTATGAGTATATTTATTAGACAACTCCCTGTATCTATTTCTTTTCTGGTGCTGTGATAAAACACCATGATGTAAATTAATTTAAGAAAGAACTTGTTTTGGATTTCAGTTCCAGAGGGCTACATGTTCATAATGGCAAGGAATGCACAGAGATAAGAGATCCAGAGGTCTAGATGTTCATAAGACGGGAAGGCACAGTGGTGGGAAACCTAAGCAGGAATCAGAGAGATTAAAACTCAACCTCCACCTGCACACAGAAAGCAAGGCATGAACCAAAGATGAGGTGAAGCCATAAACACTCAAAAAACAACAACAGTGACATGCTTCTTCTAGTGAGGTTTTACATCCAAAAAGTTCTATAACCACCCAAACAGCACCACTGTCTGAGAACTGAGTGTTCAAATACATGGGGAAAATATCTAGGGTAGAGTCTATGGAGGGAATGACCTGTCTACCTGATGGTTCTACCAATTTATCTGAAAAGTGTGTTGATCTATGGCTTCCTTTGTTTGATTACTATAAAATATTCATAAAACTGTTGCAAGGTTAGAACATGGTGTTTGGGAGAAACTTGAATCTCTGCTTTAGGAATAGAAGGTCATTGTGATTTGGCTCCAAAGTAAACTATCTCTTAGTTTCCCTTTGAGGTGAGAGTTGTGTTTTTGTGTCAACAAGGAGTGCATTTCTGATACTGATTTCAGAAACTAAAGCTAACTCTTGGCTGGGTTTGCTCTGCAAGATGGGAGTTGAGTGTTGAGAGATGGTGACCTTAAAAGAGGCAGCAACTACTATTGCAGGTACAGAAGGGCAGCATCTCACATTGGGAGGAGATAGAGAAAGTTGAATCCAGTAAAGAGATAGATGTCCAACTAACCACTCTCTTCCACAGACAACTCATGATAACAAGGATGCAGAGAGACAGAGTAGCAAGGATGTGCCCCTCAGCAAGCTAATACTACCACAAAGAGAGACTAAAGTGACAGGCAGCATTTATGTAACATTATTTAAGAGTTCCTCTCCAAAATGTGGGATATGCTAACTTCACCTAATAAAAAATAGTAATAACTGCTCAGTCAGAAATGAATAGCAATGGGGAAAATGATGATAATTTTTTATTCCATCTCATGGTTTCATCTTATTTAATAAAAAACTAATCAGATCAAGAGCTAAACCTATCCTGTTGATAAAATGAGAAACATTAGCCAACGTCCTGGTTTATTAGATTAGCTGGATCCAGGTCACAGTTTAACACCATCCCCAGGGAAAAGACAGAAGCAGCCTTCCAGAGCAGCAATGTCTGAGCCCTACAGTTGCAGGACAAATGACACATGTCTAAAGTCTCACACAGAGCATCCTTGGGCCGTATACTTGCAGCTTAGTTGCAACAGACATCAGTCCCAGTGGAGTTATTAATTCATGAGAGAAACCTCCATCAACACCAGACTACTGGTTGCCCAGGAGATCTCAGTGGCTGTAGCACAATAATCACAGGATTATTGTGAAACTACCTGAGAAAATCATCAGGGTAAGCATAAGGGGTGCAGGTAATGAGAGGCTGTGGCAGCCAGGTGTAACCACAGCCCTCCATTCCATTTGTTCAGCCTTTATGCTCTTCTGGGTTTGCTTTAGCATCTCTCACTGGCACCTCCCTGTGATCAGTGCTTATAAATGGGGCCTCATGTTAGACCAGATCATTCTCAGAAGCTCAAGAGGCAGCAAGATGGTGGGCAGTCCCACTCCTCCTCTTGCTCCTGTGTGTCACAGGTGAGATAACATACCAAAGTGACTTTTGCCTAGAGGATGCTTTGACTATGCTTGAGAGTGGTAAGGAGCAAAAACCATTTGCAGCACAGGAATGGCAGTTCACGGCCTATTGATAATACAAACCTATGCTTTAGAGTCTCACAGCCTCTCTGTATCTCCCTGTGCCTCTGGTTATAGCCTCCAAGGGAAAGATCCTGCTCACCCAGTCAGCAGAGTCCCTTCACATTTCTCCAGGAGAGAGAGTCTCAATCACCTGCAGGGCCAGTCAGAGCCTCCTCTACACAGATGGAAAGCACTACTTGTCATGGTACCAGCAGTATAAAGGGCAGACAATCAAGGCCTTCATTTACCATGCTTCTGTCAGGATTGATGGAGTCCCCACCAGGTTCATTGGCAGTGGATCTGGGACAGAATACACCCTCACTATTGAAGATCTTCAGCCTGAGGACTGTGCAGTTTATCACTGTCTTCAAACACGGAAGATATAACTCCTGATCAGTAACTCCCCATAAGCCTGGCTGCCCCACCTGCCTTGGTCTCAAGGACTCTTCTGAGAGAAACAGCTGTGTAATCAGTATGTGGACAGTGAAAATCAACATATCACCACCAACACACACTAATATATGGAGCAGTATTTTTTCCTTAGTCTCCTCTATGGTCATCAATGTTGCACAGAAGAGACTTAAAAGACATGGAGTCAAATACACTAAAAGGCAGAAAAGGAAGCAGGGTACATTAATTCACATTCGTTCCCTCTCTATCTCCCTGTTAGACCTCCTCATCTCCCTCGTTCTTCATCTCCAGCTCTTGCCCTCTCCCTCTCTCTCCCTCTCAGTCTCCTTCTCCCTACAAATTTCATCTTTTTAGTCTCCTCTGGACCATCGATCATCTATCTCCAGCTTATACTTGCAAGCTTTTCTCAACACCTCACATTGGGATAGCCTTTCACCTGAGGGTTTTGTCCCTCATGATGCTGCATCCTGATGAGACCCTTTAGAGTCACAGATCAGGAAGAAAAAAACATGTCCAGACTGCTGACCAGAGCCCTATACAGTGGGGATAAATTCAATGAGTCCGAGCCATGTCTGCCACCTTTATGTTTGAGTTGCATGCTGTAGATAGGAATAGAGTGACTCTGTGCTCTATACTGTTTAGTTTTGGGGAGATTGTTAGTTTGTTTCTTTGTTTTTCTTTTACTTTTGCAAGTCATGGGAAGCAAATCGGGGAACTGAAGGAAGTATCATTCCTCCATGGTTCCTGCCTTTTCTCTGGATGAAGTTCCTGCCCTGAGTTCCCTCAAAGATAGAATGTGATCATAACTTATAAGTCAAATAAACATTTTCCTCCCCAAGCTGCTTTGCTCGTGATATGTACCACATCAATGGAAAGCAAACTAGGACACTGTCTAAGTTAAGGATCTAGATGGTCACACCTTACCTGTTTTGCTCCTTACACAAACATGGAAAGTTTCATGGACAACTTTCACTGTTTATTATTCATCTGAATTGCTATTGCTGTTGTTGTTGTTTTAAGATGTATTTATTTTTATTCTCCCTCTCACATATGTTAATTATATTCCAACCAACCTGCTTTCTCTCCTTCCACTCTACCCAGTCTTTTCTTACCTCTCCTCTCCCCCAGATCCTCTGCACCTCCATTTCCCTTCATAAAAGAGCAGGTCTACCAGGAATACAACCAAACACATCATAACAAGTTGCAATAAGACTAGACATCAGTACTGGAAGTTGCAACCCAGTACGATGAAAGGGTTCCCAAATGAGTTAAACGAGTCAAAAATGTCTACAACTCACACAGTTAAGATTGACAAAAGTACACCAAGCTACATGACTATAACATATATGTAGAGGAACTAGCACAAACCCATGTGGCTCCACGATAGCCACTTCAATCTCTGTTATCCTCTATGTTGCCTGCTTAGTGGATTCTCTGGGCCTTGTACCTGTAGTGTCCTTGACCCCTCTGACTCTTTTCAATCTTTTCTTCACCTCTTCTAAGAGTTTCGCTGAGCTGCACCTACTTTTTTCCTGTGAATATTTGCATCTCCTATCATCAGTTACTGGGTGATGACTCTCTGATGATGACTGGGTTAGGCTCCAATTGTGAGTATAGCAAAATATCTTTAGGACTCATTTCATTGACTTTTCTAATTTTTTTTGCTAGTTGTGTTTGGTTCTATCCTAGATCTCTCTGCTATCCAGCCTCTACTTCCTGGCCATTCAGGCAATGTCAGACATGAGCTCCCATTCATGGTGTGGGCCTCTAGTTGGACCATTCTTTGCTTGATCAGTCTGACAAGTTCAGTACCACCATTACCCCAGAGCATCTTGTAGACATGACAATTTGTAAGTTGAAGGTTTATAACTGTCCCACCACTGGAAGCCTTGTCTTGTTATAGGAGATGGCCTGTTCAGGCTCTCTATCCCCATTACTGAAATTTTTATGATGTCATTTTTAACAGCAATATAATACTCCATTGTGTAAAGATATCATGTTTTCTTAATACATTCTTCAGTTGAAGGACACCTAAGTTCTTTCCAGTTTCTGACTATTATGAGTAAAACCACTACAGACATAATAGAGAATGTGTCTTTGTGATGTGATGAAGTGTCTTTTGGGCATACACCACCTTTGGTGGTGTAGCTTGAGGTGGATTTATTCCCTGTTTTCTGAAAAGTTACTCTATTGGTTTTCTTAGTGGTTGTACAGTTTTTACTTCCACCAGCAAGAAAGGAATGTACCTTCTTGCCCTTTAACCACACCAGCAGGAGCTGTCAATTTTGTTATCTTTGCCATTCTTACAGGTGTAAGAAGGAACCTCAGAGTCATATTGATTTGCATTTCCCTTTTGGCTAAAGATGTTGAACATTCCTTTAAGTATTTCTCAGCTATGTGAGATTCCTCTGTTGAAATTTTTTTGTTTATAGCTGTAACCCCTTTTTAAATGGATTGTTCTGTCGAGTATCTTGAGTTCCTTAAATGATTTGGATATTAGCCGTCTGGAAGAAAAATCCTTTTCCACTCTGTAGACTTCATTTTTGTCCTATTGTCAGTGTCCGTTGCCTTACAGATACTTTTAAGTTTCATGAGGTTTCATTTATTAACTGCAAAATCAGTGTTCTCTTTGCAAAGTTGTCACCTAAGCCAATTTGTTCAAGGATATAACCCACTTTCTCTTCTATCAGCTACAGTGTATCTGGTTTTCTTGTGATGTCTTTGATCCACTTGGATTTCAGTTTTGTGTAGTGTGATAGATATGGATGTGTTTGAATTCTTCTACAAGCAGACATTTAGTTAGAGAACCATAATCTGTTGAAAACTTTTTTTTTCCATTATGTACGTTGTTCCAGGTTTCTCTCACCTTTGAACTGTAGTTCGCTCAAACTGATCAACATTACATTGAATGTGCAAATAAAACAAAAGGAGCCATCCCTGTAGGGCAGAGGCCTGGACAAAACTGTGAGTATGAACTGAGTATGGAGTTGTTCATCCTTCCTTTTCTCTCTTTCCTCACTTTTTTCCTTTCTTCCTTTGTCTTTATTTCTTCTCTCCTCATCCTCCCTCCCTTGGTCCCTCTCTCTTTTCCTCATTCTTCCCTTCCTTTCTCCATTTCTTCCTTCCTGCCTATCCCTCTTCCTCCCCCTTACTCTCTTCCCCTCACTCCCTCCCAATCTACCCTCCTCACTCTCTCTCCCTCCAACCCCTTACTCCCTCCCCCTCATGCCCAATCAATCTGCCTTCACTCCTTCCCCTATTCCTTCTCCCATCACTCCACCACCCACTCCCCCTCACTTCCTCTCCCTTCTTTTTTCCTACCCTCCTCATCCCAGTGCTTATATTTTTTCCCTTTTCTTACTAAAGACTTTTTTATTTTCTTATTTAATTAAAATAAATTATGTCTTTCCACCACCCCCTTAAAACCTTGCTAGAAAATTCATCTTTCTGTCTCATTAAAGAAGATAAGGTAGCAGGGGTCTGAGAAAGTGAAGAAATACTCACTTCTATATCTATCAAACTGTTTATCCCTCTGTCTGTCTATCATGCAATTTTTCTGGTGAAGAATTCACGTTTCTGAGAATCATTTTATATCACAATGATAACATGTAAGATACCTCTCTTTTGATAACCTTGGATCTTTTAAAGATCTGAAGAAAGGAATCTTTTACATGTATCTGAGATTGTTTACATAGAACTTTTCCTCATTTACGAAGTCCTATATGTCCTAAAGTATTATTTATGTTCAACCTGAAGAATTTCCTTTCAGTCTTTCTATTTTTTAAAAATGGGCTTGGTGACTCTGTCAGTAACATGCTTACCATATAAATGTGAGGACCTGTTTCACATTCCAAGAACCCACATGAAGCCAGATGCAGCTGCACCACATGACTGCACTCAGAGTGATGTTGTCGCAAGATGAAAGATGGAGACTAGAGAGTATCCAGATGGTCCTGGGCCAGGTGCTTATGGAACAGTGGAGAACAAGAGACCCTGTCTCAAATCAGGCAGAAGGCAACAGCCATACCCAAGGGTGGCCTCTTATCTTCACCCATATGCCAAGTCAAGGAGGTTGTCCTCAAGCAAGAACAGGCAAAAACACATCTACGGCATCACACTAACTGAAACATAATTTTTTTAAAAAATTAAGAAAATAAGTCAAGAATTAATTATGTTACTTTGCTTTAAGCCTTTATTTTCCATTTCCTCTTAGATAATATTTTCATTGGCTGTGTACAATTTGAATGATCAAGTTGTTCCTGAAGAAACATACATTCTTTACACAGCACATCCATAATGCATTTCCCTGCATCACATTTCACAATGATTAGAGAGTAAAGACTCAATGGAATAGGATGCAAGGCTCCTTTAAGACACACTTGCCATGCTCTAGTAAATTTTGTGCTGACACCAACTCCCAGTGGGTGAACAGGAGCAGGTGTCTCTTTGAGCTGATTTACATATTGAGTCATTAGAAATAGCCCACCTCCTTTAAGAGCAGTTGCCAGGAGACTAAGAAGCATTCTCTTTTCAAACACTCAGAGATGGAGTCAAAGGCACTCCTCCTGTGGATGCTGCTGTTCCTGGTACAAGGTGAGAGGGTGCAGCGCAGTGCTGGGTGCACCCACTGTAGCCATCAGGATTTTCCATGCCTCTAGTATCTTGTTAGAATAAAAGCATTTGTAATTATTTTAAGTTCCCATATTCCTTTTAATTTTCTGGGTTCTCAAAGTGATACCCACAAGTATCCTTATAATTTTTTAATGGAATATTTCCTTACTGGGAAAGTTTCTAAACATG